AATACCCAATACTCAAAAATACCATCATTAATTGAATTTCATCAAAAAACTAATGGCAAAGCATATAAATCTATCACTAATTTTTTAAAAGACATTGAAATTAATTTATAATTTTATAAATTAATCTAAAATTGGAATATGGCGTTTTAAGCTTAATTAATTTAAGAATTATTTTTTTTTGTAGCCAATCACTAAAGTCTTATGTTTTGGGACTTAATTTATAAGTCAAAAGTTCGCTAGTTAAAAAGTTCGCTAGATCTATGATCAATAATATCTAATTGCACGAAAACTCCGTAAATACTCCTTTTCCCAACTCCATCAAGTTTAAATCGGAGCTGAATGTAATTTATTATAATTTGCGCCTAGAATTCTTTAATTCGCTGACAACTTTTTTTTGGAAAGTACTAGTTTTCCCCAGAGGCATTATAAAAGTGTTCTTACACGATATGTATGTATTTCCATCTGTAAATGTAACCGTTTCCATACATACGTAATTGCATCTGTCTGTCAAAATCACAGTATTTATTTAACCCTTCAAAATAAAACAAACACAGATAATTATTTCTGTATGTCAGATGAAAATAGATACATTTCTATTTCGTATGTACGTGTATCTGCTTTGTACAGAAACAAATCTAATTTGCCTTTACACGATATGTTGGCATTTCCATATGTAAAAAGTGCCATCTACTTACACTTTAAGTCTCTATGTATGTATACTTGCCTAGAATATATATATTATTTACATACGTATATACATTGTAATTATTAAGCCTGAAAAAAACACGAATTTAAATCCCAACACTCTGCTTACTGACTGTTTAATATGCGCATACAATTGTAATAATTGATTAAATAGTTGGAAAGTGATTGAAACGGGGTTAAAACACGAGAGATACAACATTCAGTGTCAGCAAGTAAAACGCTATATGGCTATGTAAAAAATCTAAAGTGATAAGGGGAGAGAAAATGATAAGACACACGCTGTGGCAATGATTTAAGCCGACAAAGGACTGCAATACTTACGATTCCTACGTTTTATTAAAGTTATTCATATTTTTCTTTATTAATAATAAAAAATAAAATAAAATAATAAATAAAAACAAAATACACTTCCTTTATTTCCAGGTCGGTTCATTAGCCGCCCTCAGCTTTGCTCGTCGAGGACATGAAGTACATTTGTATGAATATCGTGAAGATATACGCAATGCGGAGTTGGTGCAAGGTCGTAGCATCAATTTGGCTTTGTCGCAACGTGGCCGCAAAGCGCTTGCCGAAGTGGATTTGGAGCAGGAAGTACTCGCAACAGCCATTCCCATGCGTGGTCGTATGTTACACGATATTAAAGGCAATCGCACCGTTGTACTGTACGATCCCTGCACGCATCAATGCCTCTACTCGGTGGGCAGAAAATATTTAAATGAAGTGCTGTTGAATGGTAAGCTTAGTTTGGACTTTAGTTAGGCATTTCCTAAAACTTTTCAATTGTTTCGCTTTAGCGGGTGAAAAATATGCCAACATTCATCGACATTTCGAACATAAATTGAATTATGTAAATCTGAGTGAGGGTCGTATGGAATTCAAGCGGTGAGTTGATAAATTAAATTTATGCAAAATAAAATAAAATTATTTAGAAAATATAATCACTTATTCTACCGCTAGTGGTTGTGATAACAACAACATGGCATTTATTTCGTTCTCACGACAGTCTGTGTTACCGGAACTTCCAGTTTAGTATCTTGTAAAAAATTGTCACCAGCATTCCCCACAACTTTTACTTAACTTTACTTTTCTTTTTAAAACACAACTATTTTTCTTCTCATTTTGCAGCATGCAAACTAAGGAAGTTGTCGAAGATTTTGCAGATTTGGTTGTAGGTTGTGATGGCGCTTTCAGCTCAGTGCGTCAGCAATTGGTCAAGAAGCCAGGCTTCAATTATTCACAGGAGTACATTGAACATGGTTATTTGGAACTTTGTATACCAGCAAAAAATGGCGAGGTATGGTATTTTTGCAGTTAATGTCCTTTCTTGTGTTGCCCTTAAGAACTAAACAAATTTATATAACAGTTTCAAATGCCTGAGAATTATTTACACATTTGGCCACGTGATGATTTCATGATGATAGCGCTGCCCAATCAAGATAAGTCGTTTACTGTCACACTTTCAATGCCGTTCAAAGTTTTTGCAACCATACAAATTACCGCCGATTTATTAAAATTTTTCCACAAATACTACGCTGATGCAGTGCCACTGATCGGCGAGGAAAGGCTGATTAAAGATTTCTTCAAAACACGACCACAACATTTAGTTTCGATTAAGGTAAATGGTGGACTATTATATTTTCTAAAATTTATTTAAGCTAAAGACTTTATTCTATTTTCAATATAACGCAAATAAGTAATTATATTATATAAATTTTTACCGAAGCTCCAGTTTGTAACAAAATGTTTCCTAACTTCCAGTGCTATCCATACCACTACGGCTCGAAGGCGCTAGTTCTAGGTGATGCTGCACACGCTATGGTACCCTACTATGGGCAAGGCTTAAATGCAGGCATGGAAGATTGTACGCAGCTAATGTCGCTATTTAATCAAACAAGTTTAAGTACCGCTGAAGTATTGCAGCAATTTACTGAGTTGCGTTGGCGTGATGCGCATGCCATTTGCGACTTGGCGATGTATAATTATGTTGAGGTAAATATATGTACTAAAATTTATATTTTATATTTTTATTAAAAATATTACATCATTTAAAAACAGATGCGTGATCTCACCAAACGGGCAAGTTTTCGCTGTCGTAAATGGCTTGACACGTTACTATTCCGTTGGTTTCCAAGCGCTTGGGTGCCATTATATAATAGTGTTTCCTTCTCCAGCATGCCGTACAGCAAGTGCATAGCTAATCGCAAGTGGCAAGATAAGGTGAGTGATTATGGTATAATTAAATTTAATACCACTTAAAACTACTAAACCGGTTGCTTTCTACTTTTCAGCTGCTAAATAATGTACTAATTTCTACTGTGCTGGCGGTCATTGCTATCATCATTGCCATATATTTGGGAGTTTTTTAAGATGTTACTTTTAAGTAATGAAGTTACTAGTATTTAAAGAGAAAGAACAAGCTGTTTAACGTCCGTAGGTATTAATTGTTGAAGATTTGTAATTTTACGTAGAATTTGAAATTGAATGCATGCATAAATTGTAGTCTTGGGGGGTCGTAGATAATTATTATACATATATTAATTCATACATATGTACCATATATAGGAATTGAATGAATAAAAAATTGCATATCGATGCTTTAGTGCGTAAAGATGCCAATTGATTTGGAGACAGTTTTAAATAACTTATTTGTGTGATTCGACACAAGAATATGCCCCAGTTACATATATCGCTTTCATTTGCACAAAGTGTTTACTCTCTAGTATCTAACTGGAGCTGTGCAGTTATCTGCCTAGTCAAAAGATATATTTGGATATTAAAGAGTAACTTCTGCTTATCCATTTACCCAGTATTACTGCTAATATTAATAGTTAAGCTGAAACACCCTTAACAGTCATCAATGATATTAATATTAAACTTATATTTTGCATAAATATACTATCAGATTTCAGCGCTATAGTCAGTATCAGGGATGACTGTTAGATCAAGTACCAGACATTTTTACATTGGCAAAGATTTAGTTTTTTGTTTTACACTTTTACAAAACAACTAAGATTAATCAAGGATTTTTAATAAATATTGATCATTATTCATTGACCTTGAATTAAAGAACAGTCTATTGAAGAAAACGGAAATTTAATTGTGATAAGAGAATTTATGCATATTTTCCTCGTGGTTCCACAAATTCTGCGATCAGCTAATACCAAGAAGAATTTCCAAAAGTGTTGCCTACTTTTCGGCAATGTAGAATATTCAAAGCACATGTATGGTAATTTCTTCAATCCATACGTGACATATATGTATACATACTATATGTTTTATACGTTGTCACACCATTTTAATCACAAAAATTTATGCATTTATTAAATTAAGTGATATTCAATAATATTTCATCACTCACTGTGTTTTCGGTTGTTCGGCCTCGTTAAGAAATTCGCCACTGCTTTCTGCTATTAAATTTAAATGCTTTGCACACTGCGCACATCTTTCGCCTGCTTCGCTCTGCGTCCAAATGGTTTCAAGTATGTAGATGGGGTAATTCTCGTGCCCACCAGCTGCTAAAGACCGACCATGTGCTTTGCTAATTTCTTTAATATTATTTTTTTGTTTTTGGAATTGGCGCCTGAAATGCTCTGAGTTTCATAGAGGCAAAGTGAAAATAAAGAGAGAAAAATTATTGAAAAATATATATGTACGTTTGTATGTACCTATGTATGTATACATATATAGATTGGTATAACAGATATGGACATGTGTATGTATGTAAGAGTAAAACCGCTTTTAGACGGGTCGATTTCTGTCGACTGGAAAATCGACTGAAAAACCGACCAGCCAAAACACTTAAATTTTGCGGTTGAATTGTCATTTACACTGGTTGAATTTGGTTGAACGACAAAAATCGACTAGAAAATCGACCCGTGTAAAGGCAGCTTAAGAGCTATAACACATATTCACATTCTTTGGCTCTGCAACTGTTGACTATTGGAAATTTACCAGAATATTCTATTTTTGTTGAACTTCTGTTTTGTTGACGTATTCTTTACAAACTATGCCGGCTGAGGCTGAGCATGACATTAAGCATGTAATCTGTTGGCTTTATATGTACATATCTATGTATATATATATTTTAGTATATTTACATACATGTGTTTGGTTTTTTTAAGAGAGCGAGTGATGTATGTATACCTTAATAATTTTTAGTTTAGTTTTGGATATAAGTTCCGCCGCTCTGCCACGTTGATGTTTTACGTTCTTCATAAAGCTGACGAACAATATGATTAGTCAATATGCACATACATATGTATGTATGTACATACTTTGGTTTTCGGTTTAGTAAATTGTTGCAATTTAAATTTCATTCGAAAAATATGAGCATTGCTCGCTGAGCAAATAAAAAATGAAGGAAAACATAAATAAAAACCACGTGGTAGTAAATAAGGTTGGTCAATATACATATACGCATATGTATGTATGTATGTATG